CCAATTTTCGTGTCGCTGCTCCTTGTCGGTCGCCGGAGGGACGAAATCCGGAGGGCTACCATCCTCCCTCCCGAAATCCTACGCGATTTCACCCTTTTTCGTTTTGATCCGCGCTCGCGCGAGATATCTAACTCACGGGAGCGCGTGACAATATATAATCTTTTTTTACTTTTTTTTTAATTTTCCTCAATTTATCATTTTTAATATTTTATATTTTTAATTAATTTTTTTATTTTCACTATTTATATTAAAAATTTTTTTATAACATCAATCATTTATATATTAATTTACATTATTTTATTTTATAACCTAATACTTTTTAAATCTATTTTAATTGTTTATTATATTCTAAAAATTATTATTATTTTTTAATAATTTTAATATTACCAGTAGTTTGCATTGTTCCAATAATTTCAACGTGATCGCCTTTATTAATATCAAATTTAGTGTAATCATCTTCTTTAAAATTTGTAATATGTACTTCTATTTTATAATATCCGTTTGTTATTGAACCACAACCGATTATTTTATTATATTTCTTATTGTTTACTGATGTAAAATTTGTTTTCACATATCCTTTTATTACTATTTAAAATATTTATAATTATTTATATATTTATTATTAAATATATTTTTTTATGTTAATTTTAGAATTAATCAATTTCAATTGGTCATTAATACTTACTAATGGGTTTTACTGTGTTTAAAAGGTTTTCCATTTTAACTAACTCTGGTTCTTCTTCTATCATTCTTATAGGCTTATATTTTCCCCAATTTGAAACAATGCTATTTGATTGGATTTGCAATTCGAAACTAACATTTCCGTTATTAAATTGAGCAGCTTTTGGTGGTCGTGCCTGTACCCCGTCCAAATGGATAATCTAAAATTTGAATATTTGATTTAATTTCGTAATTACATCATATTAATAAATAAAATTAATCTTTAATATTAATGTCTGAAACATTAATTTTTTGTTTTGGCAATTTAAATTGCATATACCAGGTGTACAAGTATGAAATGCGGATTTTAAAAGAAAAAAAAACACGTTAAATTCGGTAGAATGATAAAAAGTACCTTATTCAAAGTATGTTCCATCGCTTTTTAT